TAATATGTGTGTTATTTATATATCTAGATACACAGACACAGACACACACACAGACACACACACACACACACACGCACGCACGCACGCACGCGCACACACACACACACACACACACACACACACACACACGGGTTTTCTACATTCCAAGAAGTTCCACAGCTTGTGATGTGCACCTTACTTGCTGCCTGTAAAGCAATACCACCCTCCAAGGAGAGTGTCAATATTTGCAATAATGCCTGGCATGTAATAAGCATTTGGGGAGGGTCCAAACAGTACTTGAGGCACCAGCCTTGATTCTCAGGCTGGAAGGTCAGGAGGGCCCTACCCAGAACCTGTTAGAAGGGATTTTGCACCTCTCAGACGAAGGACTCATTGTTGTAGTTGACACTTGGGCAAATTGGATGTGGTCAGTAAACGTTTCTCGAATGAATAGGTGGTTGGACTAGACTGGTGTTTCCCATGGGAACAATGTGAGGTGGTTTTAGGTGGGACACAGACATTTTACATCTTAATAAGTAAGTGTGTATTGCAGTGCGTGTTAGAAGAAAATACAAGGGAGCATGTCAGCTACGCAAAACAAAAAAGTGAGTCATTTAAAGACCTGCTGCATTGGGTAGGTCGTGGATGGGTGTTTAGAAATGAAAGCAAGAGTGAATTAAGTAAAGCCGGGCTAGCGCTCAGTGTCTTTCCGATCTGAGAGCTCTGTCTCTTTGGATGTAGACTTTGAAAAGGAAGGTGGGGTCTGCAGAGAAATATTCTGGTGTTTTGTGCAGAGGGAGCGCTGTGGAACTAGCAAGTAGAGTTGGTGCTTAGCATCATGGGTGGCACATGAGTTAACTGCTGCTGACAGCATTGCAAGCATTTGGTATTCCCTGGGGCAGTCTTGGGGACCTGTGTGATGTGGAGTTTTCATGGGCAGTGTTCTTACAGAAAACTCATTGTGCCCATTCTTGCTTATTTTCTTAGGACAAAATCCTGCAGTGGGATTGTTGGCTCACCACGTATGTGTGTATTCCATGCTTTATATTCCTGTTGGCACAGCACCTGTGGCGGAAGTGTGCCCGATCGCTGCCTGGCAGGGGTGCTTGAGCGTCCTCTTTCTTCTTCTCTAAACCCAAGGTCCACTCAAATGCTTTTGTTGCCAATTTGAAAGAGAAATAGCACTCTATTTGAGCTTTTATTTTACTTTTAAAAATTATTATTGAGGCTGAGTTTTGTTTGTTAATTAGCTGTATTTCTCTTGTGAGTTGTCCCCAAATATGTCTTTTCATTCACTTTTGTTTCTTCTGGGAATTCTGGGGTGTTTTCTCCCTAATTTTTGAGAGTTCTTTATTTTTGAGGATATAAGTGCTTTGTGATGGGCTTTTGGTAGTTCTGGTTGAATCCTTGCCTTTTCAATTTATTTGGTAGTCAGGTGTAAGTGTCTTCTGTGGGGAGGTCAACTATTGGATTCTGTGATGTGCAGATCTTTGCACTTTACCCCTTTGGAGTCCGATACCGTTTATCCCTTGTGTGTCTCCCGGGCTCTGGCAGTAAGGGCCGCCATCACCCGTGCCTGTAGGTGCAGTAGGTATTTGCTGGCATGGCTGGGCAGTTGCCACTGTAGCCCCTGGTGCCTTTCTCAACATCGTGTTTAGGGGCCATTGAACACAGGCCTGAGTTCCTGTTTGAAACTCAGTGTTGATGCCTTCTGATCCGAGCCAGATGAAAGAGCTAACATCCAAACTCTCAGAGTGAGAGTCAGAGGGTACAGCGACACTTTCCTTAAAAAGCCCCATATGGATTCTGTGCACTGGAACCAGTAAGCATTTCTTTTTGTAAATACCCCCAGTTCGTTTAGCTAATCTCAGATTGATGGCCTGCAAATCCCGGAATTTGACGTTTCTCTTCCTTCCTTCAAGATTCTTTTTCTCCTTCTTTACCCATCATGTGTTGTAAAGACCTTGTGTGTTGGCTGTTGTGCCGGATCAAATGGTGAGGTCCTGATCTAACAACTCAGTCTAGAACATTCCCTTCCCCTTCCCTGTGATAAGGATTGGCAAGAACTGTTCTTGCTTCAGCTAAAGAGATGCTTTTTGCCACTAGATGGCACTACAAGATTCCTCTGAAAACTCAGATAACCACCCACAGTGAGAAGACAGATCATTGCAACTCAACACATCTTCAAGACTTCTGGAAACAATCTTTGCTCTTTCTATGTGTAACACATGGTGGTATTTTCTATTTTATTTTCTTCATCATGTTTAAAAAAATGAAGATTTGTACACTGTTCAAATGGAATTTGATAGAAATGAGTCACACATTGTTGAAAAACACTGTTTAATTTTTTGTTTTTGTTTTTGTTTATTTATTTTGTGGTATTAGGATTGAATGTAGTGCCTTAGGCAAGAATGGTTCCACTGAGCTGTTTTGTGTTTTCACTTTCTGAGACAGGATTTCACTCTGTAGCTCTGGCTGGCTTGGAACTCAGTATGTAGATCAGGCTGGCCTAGAACTCACAGAGATCTCCTTCCCATATGCTGAGGTTAAAGGTGTGTGCCACCATGACTGGCTCTACCACTGAGCTTTACCCACTGTTTAGAGACTGAGTAAACTCACTGTGGTCAAACTCTTAAGTGTGCTGTTTGCTTGGACTGTGTAGATATATGTAACAAGGCCTGGGCATTAGTGTCTTGTATAATATTAGTGGGACCAGCCTTAATATTATATATCCCAGGGGCTCAGGAGAGAGAACTACTAACAGCGAGGACTATTTTCAGGAAATAGAATCTCAGCACACCAAGCTCTATCGTCCACTTGCTTTAATTCCTCTGGCATAACCTCCTTTATACACAGCTTCATTTCTGTTCTCATGTCTAGCTCCTTTCTTGCCTGATTTCTCTCTAAATTTATCTACTGCTTCCTCTAAGTTCTATCTTAATTCTCTCATCTTAATTCTGCCTCATCTAGGTCCTTTTCAGCTTGTTCTTACCCAGCTAATACTTCCCTATCTGGCTCTTCCTCATCTTCCATCTTATTCCTCTAGTACTTTCTTCTAGCCCTACAACTTAGTTCTTCCCCATCTCAGTTTGTTCCTCTCAAGTTCTTACCCATCTAGTTCTTCCATTCTTTTTTCTCTTCTCTGTTCCCTGTGCCCTGAAAGTCCTGGTATATAAAGCCAGGCTTCCAGGGTCAAATGGAAGGGTGATACGAATCACATTGAGAGGCAATAACCGTTAATTATCATTTGCAACCCCAAAGGGAAGTGACCAATGGGGAAATGAATTAATTAAAGGCTAAATTCGGGTAATATCTAAGAAGAGGGAATCTTATGTGCTCAACTATAGTCTTAAACGTGGTTGGTAGAAAATGTTAAGAATCTATAAGTTGCTAGGTCGATGGGAGAAAATAAAACTCTCTTCTTTTTTCCTGTGGCTCCTATCTGTCCAAGCTATCTGCTGTTTTTTCTGCAGGGTGGGGGAAAGTGTGCTCAGTCCCTAGGCAACCTGTGCACAGCTAGATGCCTCTGGTGATAGTTAAAGGGAGATCTGGAACCAGAGGTAAGGTTTGGGAAAGGAGGAAGTAAAGCTTAATTGGCACATCCGCCAGGCCTTCTCAAACAGGTAGCCTGGATGCTTAAGTCTGTTCTTAGAGAGTACAGAGGTATCTCTGATAAGGTATTTTCCTCCATCTGGGGATGGACCTGGCCGGATGCTGCCAATGATGATAATTACAGGGAGGCTTGGACTGGGGTTCTGGCTGAGCATAGCTATCAGTGCAGAGGGTTATCTAAATATTCCTAGAAGTGGTTAGGTAAGGAGTTAGAGGTCTATAAAGTTAGTAAGGCTGTAAGAAAGGAGGGGTCTGAGCTAAATTGTGTAAAGCTATTACTTAACGTCCACCTGACCTAGGTGGTGTCTCCTTGTGGAATTTGCCTTAAATCAGGAAACTTGCATGTGGACTGTTATTACTGCTAGTCCTTGAAAGTGGCCAAGGGAGATATCTGATTCCAGAGGAGGCCTTTCCTGAGGCTGTTCTCCAAATACCTGGAATGTGTATGTCCAGAGAGTGATCAGTCTACACTGTTAGCCCTTCTTAGAGAAAAGTCAATTGGGAAAGCTATGAAGGCACACATGATTTTCATAACAGAATACAGCTGATATATAACAAGCCAAGTAACACCAAAAACTCCTTGGGATTTGGCTTCCTCTGGAGGAATTCCCTGATCCCTCCAGGTAGTGGCTTTGCCATAACCAGCTGAGTTCTTATGATATTCCTGTGTCCCACAGCATTAGTGAGTATTTTTGCATGCTCTATTAAATACCTCACTCCACATGCTTCCTCATGGTATCTGCACATGTGCAAATACCAGTGAGAGACAAGCTTATACAGAATATAATACCTACTGTGGCAGGGCAGAAATCACCCTTGTTACTCCGTGTGGTGTCACACAGCTGTAACCTCAGCCCTTGGGAGGATGGGGCAGAGGAATGCGGGTGCCGAAACCAGCCAGGATAGTTAGGAGACCTTGTCTCAAACTCAAGCTCAAACAAGAAAAACAAGTCTGACTGGTAGCTATGGGGAAAAGATGTAGTGTCTGCTTCTGGTGACTTAGACTGTACTGCACACACCCTGAAGTCTTGTCGTAGTTACTAAGGAACATGGGGTGGAGGTGTGAAGACTCAGGGTGGCAGTTAGGAAGCTTTCTGGTATAACTGACAGTCGTGACATCACAAATCCATGTGAAGGGTGAGATGAGGTTATTTTTATTTAGGGTTTAGGGTCCTGGAATTAGCAATATGAAGAAGAGAGGTGAGACATGATGAAGTGGGAAACGTTCCGAGTGGCGTCGTGTTAGCGTGAAGATGGTAGGTGGGTCTTGTTAAGGGGGTTGTGAGGGAGTCCATGTCCATTTCTTGGCCTTTTGAAGTAGATGATTTCCCTTTGGTTCTTGGGAACTTGACAGTGGTACCTAGGACTGGACAATCCGTGCTCACTGCCTGCCTTTTCAACTCTTCCAGGTTTGCGGTGAGCATTGGCTACTGGCATGATCCATACATCGAGCATCTTGTGAGGCAGTCTAAAGAGAGGAAGGCTCCTGAAATTAGCAGAGGTAAGTGGCCATCTCAACACCATGAGCCCTAGGTTTTATAGATTCATTCTTAGAAAGCCTTTCAGGGTGTACTCTTTACACAGAACAGGGAAGGTCTTAGTTCCCAGCATCCTCACCAACATGGTATGCTATAAAACTTTTTAATCTCAATCTGATCATAAAAATGGTGTTACTGAAATTTTGTTGTCTAATTCTCCCATTATAAAAGAGACTACATTTTCCTGTTTAAAATCTATTAATGGCTGCAGATGTGGCTAAGCACAGGTGCAGCTGTTCAATCCCTAACACTGAAAAATATGTATACACACACACACACACACACACACCTTCTTTATAAGCCAAATGTAGTGGGGCATGCCTGTGTTTCCAGCACTTGGAAGGTTAAGATGGGAAAATTGTGAGTTTAAAGCCATCTGGGCTACTCAATAAGGCCTTGTCTTTAAAAAAAGAAAAAAAAAAAACACTAAGTAGAAGAAAACTGTCGTGTATTTTTTTGCTATGAACTGTCTATGTGAGGGTAATTTTTTGTGCCTTTTTATAGTGTTTAGTAACACTGTTGGGTTTTTAAGTAATTTCATTAAGGATTTGAGGCGGAAACATGATTTCCTTTCTGTCCCAGTGAAAACTGACTGAGCGATCTTAATTCATCTGTGTGCAGTGTCGGGGGACTCTTGGCCACTAGAGCTAGGTCCTTGCAGATAGTTTCTGTGAGCAGCGCAAAGAGATTTAAACACCACGGGTCCCGACGCGAGGCCACGGTAGTTCTCTTGGCATTCTTCCCTGTGGTCTTGAGGCAGATTTCCTAACAAGTGTGCCAGAGCCAGGGACCCTTGTGGTACCTGGTTCTCTGATGGCTTTGAGGGACAGTGTGTTGTCCCTGAGTGACTGACAGCTTGTTTCTCTGGAATTCTCTTTAAGGATATTTTGCTCGAGTTCATGGTGTCAGTCAGCTTATTAAAGCTTTTCTCCGGAAGACAGAATGTGACTGTCAAATTCTCAACCTTGGGGCTGGGATGGACACTACCTTCTGGAAGTTAAAGGTAACGAAGATTCTACTGCAGCTGCTGCAGTTTTATTCTTTGAAGATGACTACTTCATTTAAAAATTTAAAAATATACTAAAAGGGGGCTGTCGCAGCTGGTAAAGTATGGAGACCTGTGTTCAGGCCCTAGAAGCCATATAAAAAGCTGGGCATAGTGACTTGCTCTTGTGGTCCCAGCACTGGTTAGTGGGAGGCAGAGACCAGTGGGTCCCTGGAAGTTCTTGGGCCAGCTAGCTTAGCCTACCTGGGGGATTTCCAGGCCAGTGAGAAATCCTGCTTCAAACAAAAAGTAGAATGCATCTGAAGGAATGACATTTGAGGTGTTCCTTTGCCTCCACATGTGTGTGTACACACAGTGACCATGCAAACACATGTGAACATATGCACATGCATAAATATGCACATGCATATAAATTTAAAATAGAAATATATTAAAAGTAATTCAGTGGTAGACTTTTTCATCCCATTTTACCTGCCTAGATGTGCCTCATAGTCCCCTTATAGTAACTGTCAACTCTGTGTTTTTTTTTCTCAGGGCCCAATAAGTTAGATTGTTTCTAATTGTTATTTCAAATGGGATTAAACTAAAAATTCATATATTTTCTTCTGTGTGTTGATATACAGCAGGAAGAAAAAATATCTTCCCCTAGAGTCACCGAGACCAAATCTATGGATTTGTTAGTTTGATAGTAACTAAGATCTGTTGACCACATAGTGTCATTTTGAGTAAGATTTAGAGATTTGTGAGATGGACGAGCAGGCTATGACGTTAAGCCTGTTGTGGTGGTTCTGGTTGGATCTCTGGCTACCCTGAGGGGTAGAGAGGAGGTTGATCAGACTCACAAGGAAGGGGACATGATTCTGCTGAAGTGCTGCGTTGACTCTGTGGCCTGGTTTTTCTGTGACATGTCCTCTGTGTTACATGTTCTTTTTACAGGTTTTTGCAGATTTCTTGACTTCTCTATGAGGTCAATCATGTGCAATAATGGGTCTGTACATTTCCCTAGATTCCTTGTAAGTATAGAATAAAATAAATAAGAATGTATATACACAACCCCTAGATCTCTGGCCCCAATCAAGTCACCTGATAAGGACTTTGGTCATCAAACCTCCCAGCTTTTGTTTTACGTGAGAAACCAGTGGTCAGTGTGATCTTGGTGTTCTCGTTTGCATCTACGTTTTTCCTAGGATAAGATAACTGGCATTTATGAGAACTTTTATGTGAGAGTTCTGGGAGGGGTTTCACAGAAGGAGGAGGAGGCGCTGGGACAGAGTGTCTTCTGGGATCCAGCAGCCAGTGGCTTTAGAACAGGGACACACACTGCAGTGAACTCATCAAGCCCTTGTGTACACACAGTGCTGTGGTTGTTCAAGGAGGCTTTTTTGGTGACATCTTTTCGGTAGGCCTGTTTTGTGTTTGTAGCAGAATGTCGCATGGTTGGTATAGGGAACTTGAGCAGATTCTGGGTAAAGGTGTTGCTGTTAAGAGATCCCTCCACTGGGCCCGAGATCCCTTGATCACATGGGTTGCTTTCTTACCCTTTCTTGTAGATAACTTGATAATTAATAAATCTGAGATTTTTATTTATGAACAAAGTTCACCTCTTCTCAGAAGAAAAATTGCCTGTCAGTAGTAAGAAAGGAAAACGGCAGAAAATTTGAAAGTCCTTTGTGGAAAATTTCATATTTTTATTAATAATCATGTTGGTCTGGAGCGCTTTTTTCTTAAATCTAAAGTTCTTTTTTAAGGATATTATAGATATTTTCCTTGTTTGTTCTTTTATTTTTTTTAAAAATTTAGGTGTGTGGATGTTTTACCTGTATGTATGTTTGGTACCAAGTGAACGTCTGGTGTCCACAGAAACCAGAAGAGGGCCTCAGATCCCCTGGAACTGGAGTTACAGATGGTTGTAAGCTGCCTTGTGGGTCCTGGGAGTTAAATCCATGTCCTTTTGAAGAGAGGCCAGTGCTCTTAACCATGGAGCTCTCCTTCCAGCTCCCTGTTTGCTCTTACAGAGTAGGAGTTGCCAACTATAAGCTGTAGGCTAAATCTGGCCCATCACCTGTTTTTGTAAATAAAGCTTTATTGGAACTGTAACTTCCATTTGTTTGTATATTGTCCACATTTAACAGCCATAGACTAGGTGACAATAGAGTTGACTAGTTACAACAGAGACCATCTGGCCTGAAAGGGTTAAACTGTTTTCTGGTTCTTTGCAGAAAATAATTATGATTCTATGCTTTAGAGATGTATGCCTTTCTATAAAAGTATAGGAGGAGCCTGTTCATGCTCTTACTATGTCTCATACCTTCCAGCTAGAAAGACTGAATCTTCAGAAGTGAGACTATTAGTATGGACTTCCTGCTCTTTCTGTATGATCTTAGGGGCCCAAGACCCTTTGTATAGTTGGGGGTTTCCTTATAGACAGGAAATCTAGGACTGTCACAAAAGGAATGAGGTTGAAGGGTGAAGCCCCTTAAGGTACTTTACCTTAATATCTCTTTAGTCATGTGGAAAGAAGCATGTGTGAAATGGTCAGCTGTGGTGGCTTCCCTCTGCATCTGAGTGATGCTCTTCCTGGCTGTCCTGTGCAAGCCTGACCCAGGCTTGGGGCCTTCTGTACCAGCTCATTAACTAGGAGCTCTTTAGGCTTGCGGTGTTGATGCAGAGAATCGGAGCATCAGTGATTGAAGCGTGATTTGCCATAGTTGTTTTCCAGCAAGGTGGCTCAGGAGAGGAAGAGCCTGGACTAATCCTTGAAAGAAGACACTGTCCTGTGAGTTATAGGTCGTTGTGAACTACCGTGTGGGTGCTGGGAATCAAACTTGGCTCCTCTGGAAGAACAATCATGCTTTTAACCACTGAGCCTTCTCTCCAGCCCTCGTAAGTGATGACCCCTTGGCCCATTCAGATAAATGGTGGAGCTGGGATCTAGAAGAACAGTTATTGCTCCTAACCACTGAGCCTTCTCTTCAGCTCTGTCTTCCCTTTTATGTGATGACCCCTTGGCCCATTCAGATAGATGGTGGAGCTGGGATCTGAGCCTACTCTTCATCAGGTTTTGTTGTAACAGCAGAGAAATGATGCTAACCCTGTGCATGTGATGTTTCCTCACAGTAGTTGTTCATTCTAAATGAATCCCTAAAACGTTGGTCAGTACAAATTCTACATTGACTTCCTGATGGTCTCTGATTGTTCCAAGTGCTTTTGGAAGAATATTGTGTGTACTGTGTTTAGACATCTCACAACTCCTTTCCTACCATCTCAGCTTCAAGCTCTATAGATCTCACCTGGACAAATACAGAAACCTCTTTTTCTTGTATCTATTTTTAAATGCATGTATATGTGTGTTCTTTGTGTGCATGTGTGTGTGTGCGTGTGTGTGTGTGTGTGTGTGTGCATGCGCACACACGTATGCACATGCATGTGTATACAAACACATTTGGAGGCCAAAGGACAACCTTGGATTATCCTTAGGAACACTGTGCACCTCCTTTGAGACAGGGTTTCTCACTGGCTTAGAGCTCAACTATTAGGCTGGACTACCTGGCCAAAGAGCCCAGGGATCCTCCTGTCTTTGCCTCCTCAGCACTGGGATTGCAAACTCACACCACGGTGGTTGACATTTTTACATGGGAATTAAACTCAGGTCCTCACATTTGTAAGGCAAACACTGTACTATCTCCTATATTTGTTCTTGCTCCTCTCAAATACATTTTTTGTTTGTTTTTTTGAGACAGGGTTTCTCTGTGTAGTTTTGGTACCTGTCCTGGATCTCCCTCTGTAGACCAGGCTGGCCTCGAACTCACAGAGATCCGCCTAGCTCTGCCTCCTGAGTGCTGGGATTAAAGGTGTGCACTACCACTGCCTGGCTCAAATACATTCTTAATGATACCATAGTAATTTGAAAATATTCTTCTGGGGCTGAAGAGATGGGTTACTAGCTAAGAGCCCTTACTGTTCTTGCAGAGGACTCAGGTTCAATTCTCAGCACCCACATGGAGGTTCACAACCATCTTTAAGGGCAGCAGGCACACACATACATACAGGCTCAGCAAACATTCATGTACATGAATAAAAATAAATAAAAGACTTCTGATCCTCCGAGTCCCCTGACTAAAATCCCTAAGTACCCCCATTGCTGTTAGGCGCTTAGTGCTTGCCTGCTACATGCAGTGACTACATGAGTTGAGGAATGATTCTGTGTGGTTTTCTCCAGGATGAAGGTCTTCTCCCAAAGAAATATTTTGAAGTCGACTTTCCAATGATAGTCACGAGAAAGCTGCACATCATCAAGTAAGTGTGGCTTTGTGGGGGGACAGGATGCCAGCTGGTGGATACTCAGCTCATGGTGTAGTGGGTTGAATGTGAGAGACCGCATTGCGGAGTGCTGGCTTTCAGTTTCCATCAGCCCTGCATGAGGTGTGATCTTCACCGTTCTGTGTTCCTTCTGCCTGACTCTCCTTACTCACCAGTGTAACTTCCCTGAACACTGAAGCTTGACCTATGCAGAGCAAAGTTAAGTGCTCTGAATTTTTTTGTGTGTGTGTATTTTCATTAATGTTTTATCCTGGGGCATAGACAGTAAGTAGCCTGGCCCTGAATTAATGTAGTAATTTCTTTCTTGAGCATGTGAAATGCTGTGATGGCTGTTCTGAGGGACTTGGAGAGCTCAGGATGATGCGTTTTTCTTCGCCTCTTGCTGTCCTGAGTGCCTTTTTTGGGTGGCTTACTCCTCATGGTAGACTTGGGATCTGAGTGCTCAGAACCCTTTTTGGAGATGAAGAATCTTCTGCTCAGAGATGTTGCCCAGGGACATCTGGCTAGCATGGGTGGAGCTATCTAAACCCTGACTTCCAAAGACCTCTGTCAGGAATTGTTTCTTTTTTTATACCCCTACCCCACTTTAAGTAGTTATTTAAATAATAGCCTAATTATTATATTTTTAATATTCCATAGACATTAAAACTTTCAGTTTATTCTTTAGAGCTACTGCACTCCTGTGCAGCGGGAGTGTTTTTAAGCTTCTCATGGTCTATACTATGACTTTTCCAGTTTTTTCTAAATACTAAGTACATTTTATATTAAAAGGCTTTTAAAATGGTGAATGGTGACCCTTGGAACTGTGTAGTTCTGCTGAGCTCATTAGAACTCTGGGTGAGGTAGGCATGAATGGACCCTAGATGAAGCTTAGGATGGCTTCTGGAAAGAAAAACAGGTTTTGCCTGTGCATAGCTGTGTGGTTCTCTGATTTCTGATTTTTTTTCATTTGTTGGATTACAGGAGTTACTTTATAAATATTACTGAACTTGAAGTCAGTTTTTTGTATCCCTGAGACAAAGAACAGCCAGGATCATAAGATATAATTTTGTTTGAGAATAAGCAAGAAACTGGAGGTAGCTGGAAAATCCTGGGACATTTAGAAAATTTGTGTTAGCCTACTTTTAGCTATTTTTAAATCAAATTACTTGGTGATCAGTGTGTGATTTAACCGCCAAATGCTATAGTGCAGAGCTGCTCTAACCTGAAGCTTGTGTGGACTGAACTGCTACTGTGTACACAGGGCCAAATGTAGGTATACTGAAAGGCTTCAGAAGTGGCCCTTGTTCTGCACATTAGCAATACACCAAACTTCCCTCTCCAAAAGTATGAAATAAAAATGCTCCACAATCAGAAACATTTTCAGCACCATGGCCAGTTAGGAAGTATAGCACTAAAGTCTATGCAAATATTACAGAATCTCACAGACACCCCAAATCTGTACAGTTTTTGGTCCTAAGCATTTTGCATAAGGAATATTCAGTAGGTACTCACAGTTTGTGACAGACGCCTTCATTTTGGCAGTAAATGCACACAAGAGTTAATTGACTCTCTTTTCTCCTCTTTCCCATCTTCCCATAGAAACAAGCCGCTTCTGTGCAGACCCATCTTGGAATTACACCCAGAGGACACTCTGCAGTTAGGCAAGTAGCCTTACCAGCAGCACAGTGGGGATCATAACACATTTGCTTGTTTCAGGGTCCCTCTCTTCAGCCCATTCATTTATGCTAATCTGCCCAGCTCTGGCCATCAGTATTGCAGCTCAACAGTCTTCTTTTTGGTAGTGCTGGGGATCAATTCTAGGACCTTCTACATCCCTGGACCCCCATGTAACTGTAATTGTTTCTGACACATTCTTTCAGTGCCGAGCCTTCTGGATTGTGGGTGGGTTTCGTGTGTGTGTGTGTGTGTGTGTGTGTGTGTGTGTGTGTGTGTGTGTGTGTGTGTGTTTTTTTTGTTTGTTTTAAAGATCCTTACCAAAATTTTCCATTTTGTTCAGTTGTGGTTGACAGAGAAGGTCAAGGGGTTTAATAGTCATTCAAGCTT